AACATCGAATATCGAGGCAGAACTTTATGGGGAGTTCAACCTAGAAATATTATCTGACCAAGAGTGCAAAGCTAACTTCCGCTTTGAAAAAAAAAGACATTCCTCGATTAGTTGAAGCACTAAGAATTCCCAACGAGTTTAACACAGATAAAATAAATAATCAAAACATAAACAAAATAGAATGAGTTTTTTTTAGAGAATGAGTTTAGGTTAGATCTGTATTTTTCAATGTTGTGTTTCTACTGCGCTAGTGCGCATGCGTACCGCTATGTTAACGGCTTTGGCTAAGGTCCGTAAAATATCGGCAACTAGCGGTTACGATATACGATAATCGAAATTGAAATGTCATAGTTGTCAATTAGCGTTAACCGGAATTGCAATTTGTAAGCAACGAAAACTCCCTATTTATTCGTCGGTTCCGTGTGGATAGAAAGTCACAATTTATTTAAACATGCAACAACAGCAAGCCCGCAACATTGTACTGGCGCATAGGGGCTTTACCACGCTTTTGTGGCCCATTAATGGCTGCGCAAATGTCACATTTCTTACACCAGGCCCTCACATCTTCTTTGCAGTTCACCCAGTAGAACCGTTCACGCAGCTTGCCAAGTGTCTTGGTAACACCAAGATGTCCACCGCTGGTTCCATTGTGAACTTCCGCCAAGACTTCCGGGACCCTCTTCTTTGGAATGACGATCTGCCTTCTCTCTTCTTGTCCCTCTGGTCTCACAATCACACGGCGAAGTAATCCGTTATCTATTACCAATGAATTCCACTGGGACCAGTACGACTTCACGTTCGGCGAATATCGGCAAACTTCCTCCCACGTTGGTCTCTGGTCCGCGTTTTTCCAGTTAATCACCAAGCCCAACTCTGGCTCACTGATTTGGTCATTTGCAAGATCTTCGGTTTGCCAACTATCACCAACCACAGTCGTCCTTAAGACTTTCACTTCTTTCTCTTCTTTGCAACGATTTCCCATCTGTCCGCAATTCCAACAGCGAATCGGTCCCCCTTCTTACTCATATACTGATCCAGTACTTTCCGCACAATCCTTTCCACTTTGGAATCGTCGGAACTCTCCTCAACAGCCCGTACAAATCCTAGAGACCTAGAGCATTCTTTTCGCGGCCTCAAATTCCAGGGCACGTGCTAGGGCATCTCCCAAATGCGTTGGATGAGCTAAAAGAAGTGTTTGCCTTGTCTCGTTGTCACATAAACCATCAATAAAAGCCTGTACTTTTAAGCGCTCCATAACATTTTCGGGCATAGCAGGGTACGCAAGGCGAACGAGGCGGGCTACGTCGGCTTCAAACTCCTGCAGAGACTCATTTGACTTTTTGAATGCGATTTTTAGGCTGGGAATGATAGACATGTTCCAAATGAGCTTGGCCGTACCTCATTTCTAAATGTCGTACCAATTGCTGATAATCTCCTGTTCCGATGGTGACAATGTCTGCAGGATATCAGTCGCATCTCCTCAGTGCGACAGTCAAAGCGGGTAGCCTTTTCAGCGATTGTCCATCCGTTCGCTCTCGCAGCGGCCTCAAACTGGCAAAAATAATTGGCCCAAGCGGTTTTTTTTCCGTCAAACTGTGGAGGTTTTAGCAACTGATTTTGAGGCATACCTATTTTCGACTAGTTTCGGTCCCTCCGATGTTTCTTGACATTTTGGTGAATTTGACTTCGCTATTTCTTTCTTTTTAAAATTTCGATTTTCTGTTAACATCGTCCTCAATCTGTGCTATTTTGTCTTGTGTATCTATTATCTTTTCTTCTAATTCCTTGGAGTTTTCTGTTATCTTGTTGTATAAACTTTGTTCTAAATTCAATATTTTATTATTGAAGCTGGGCCTGTATGTCTTTAGAATTTTCTGAGATCTTATCTTCTAAATTAACTTCCAAGTCAGTTATTTTACTATTCAAATTGTTCAAGTTGTCGTCTAATTTTTGTAAGGACGAGTCAAGGTCACCTTCCAGCTCAAAGCAATATGTGTCAGGATCCTCACCTTCCTCAATCAAAACGTCTCTCAGTCTGGCTTGTAAAAATGCTTTTCTTTCCATCTGTTTCGCATTCCCTCTCTTCCAATACGCATTTTAATTCCGACACTTTCAAGTCTTTCAACAATTTTTTCGGAGCCATTGTCTGTCTTTTTATTTTCCTAGTCTATCACACACCCCACACCTGACACCAATTGTTACGTTTTTCGTCGGTTCCGTGTGGATAGAAAGTCACAATTTATTTAAACACTATTTATTTAACACTAATGAACAAAAATAATAACGATAAAAGACTTATAGAACTATTTACAAACGATTTATAACTAAGAAATTTATTTTGAATTTTAGCGCGTCAACTGTATATTTATAACTGCCCTCTGTAGGGTCACGGCCGCCGGCTTTTATACCGGCAGGTAAAGAACTCTAGAATTGTCCATAGATCGTTAGGTGCGTAGAGAAGGTTTTCGAATGTTCTCGTATGTACTAGTCCATTCCAGTGGGACTCGATTCTTCTCGAACGAATGAATCATTGCGGTGTCTATGCGATGTTAAGGTCATCCGAGGGCGGACCATATTGTGAGGTTAGGTCGAGTCCACACCGGCCCGCAACACTATTTAATTGATTTTTTCATTTTTACTTTTAGAGAAGTATGCGCGGTTAACGATTCATTTGTTTGGACAAAAGTATTGTGTAAATAAAATTCAGTTTCAGTCAATTACAGTATTTTTTTAATACGACTCTGTCGTATTTTATGAGAAATTTTTTTCAGTTTTAAAAGTTTTAATCCGGCCCTGACTAGGAAACGATAATGGCGCTGTCAAGGTCAAATTTTATAGAAATTTTAAACAATGGAATCTGAGCAGAGTTGGCGTGCCGATTGTTTTATCGATCTGGTTTCGATATCGCCTCTGATATCGCTTCTAAACGATTGGTTGCTAATTGCTAACTTGAACGAAGTCGCACCCCCGGTCGCTGACCTTGAAACGAGTTTTTGCTGCATATAGTCACAGACACTACGCATGTTGCAAGTTCCGTAATTAAAATTGTAGAATCAGCTTCACCAACATTAACAGTTACCTTGTTTAATTCTGCTTATACATATATTGCATTAATTTTTCTACTACCTCAAGATTTCTCTATTCTTACACCTAATTTAGGTGAGTTTCTTAGCATATATGATTTATAAACGATATTTTTTCTAATGGAAGGATGCATGGAATAGGATATGCAAAATTAAGATATTTTAACATTTATTTTCCAGAAAAAGTATAATATAGTATTAAGATTAAGACATAAAAAATATTATAAGAAAGATCTTAATATAAATCACAAACTAACTAAGTCTTAATTTGGTCTTGTATAAACACAGGTATAAAACTAATAAGATCAAAACTCAACATTCACCATATTGTCAAGATTTGGCATTATAGGAAACAGGAAATTGCAGTAAATTAAGAAAAGAATATCAAAGTACACGATATTAAATACCAAACCAAATACTGTAATGTATTCTACGACACAGACCATCTCCCTTCTAAAGAGAAAAAGATAAAACATAAAGCTTATTTTAGTCTTATCAACACACTTTTCGATAAAATATATATGTATATGTCTAAATTTGCTATTAATCCACTAACTTGATATTTTTAAGAAATTATGATACAAACATTATAATCAAAGTATATTATATTAGTAACATTATAGGTAAAATGTTTCCTCTATCTCCCATTGACGTGTGTTGTTCTACCCTTGTTCTACCCAGAGATATGGAAGTGGAAGTGGGAGAATGACAGAGAAATAGAAGGGATAGAGAATGAACGTCAACATGCGCAGAAGGTCTAATCAAGTTGGGCGCCATATTCCAGGTCTTCCTGTCATTTTGTACATAGGTGGTAATCTATAAGTAATCAAATATCAATTTGCTGTTTTCAACCATACGGGGGGCAATTTAAATTTAGTGAAATTCTATCATTCATTATGGTTAGTTAACATTAATATGATTTATTTAATTATCAGTTTCAAAACTGCGTACAATATTGGTATATAATACACTAAATATACGAATATTCTGACAAAAGACGCTACGGACAGATGACCTTTTCGTCGTAAAACACTCGAAATGATATTAAATAAGTATTTACAATATTTCATGTTTACTTGTACCAAGGCTTGTACTGAATTACGCATTTCAATTTAAAATTTTTGCAAATTTGGTAAAAATTGTTCTAAACAACTTTTTGTTCAAGTTGTATATTCATAAAAAACATTTGGTTCATATATTATTTGGCATAGAGAAGAGAAGCTGTGGTATCTGATAATTATTTTTTGATGATTATCTACCTTGTATTTTTTAATATAAACCTAGAAAAAATATGTTTTGTTTTATTTTTTATTCGTCCCTTCAAGCTTGTGTTTCATCAAACTGTTACATAATATGTCCTTTGACAAATATTTTCATAATACATAAACATCATTGATTTTATTAAGGGTATTATTATTAGTATTTATCCTGGTTTTTGTCGACAATAAAAACTCAATGTTGTAATAGAACATCAATTTTATATTTCGTAAAATTATTTTGATACAAATTCAATTTGTCAAAATTCAAGTCATTAATATATTGATAAACAACCCAAATTATTCCTAAATATTTTATTATAAAAAAAACTGTTACCGGTAAGTTTGTGTAACTTTTATTATGGTTTGTCGTAATACTAGAAAAAATCATTTATTTTCTTGCACAAAAAGAAGCTTGTCGATCCTTATTTGTCCATAACAAAAATTTGCACAACATATCTTCGTTTGCACAAAAGAAGCTTGTCGATCCTTATTTGTCCATAACAAAATTCTGTATGTACAACATACATATACCTAATTTATTATTAAGAAAATTAGATTATATGATCTCAGAATTTTAAGAAATTTTTTTTTAAGATAAAATAGTTTCTTCTCAACTGTAATATTTGTAATATGTTATGGTCTTGAAATAAAACTATACTAGTTAGTAGTATTCCGTGTTACCAAATAACAATAAAAGGGAGTTACAACAATTAGAAAATGTGCAGATATATTCGTGCCTACGTGACCAACTAGTATCTCCCTACAGATGACTGTTTTGTGTCTACTGTCAACTAGAGAGCTACTGCACTTAAATGATAGGGATATGTCACCTCTTATCACACATCTCCCCCATCATAAATCTAGTTTTTGAGGTTTTCTTACAACCCTACCAGATCTTGTTTTAGGAATCAGCTGTTTAGTTATACTAGGACATTTATCAAGTTCAATTTCTAGATCAGCTTCAGGTAATCCTTCCACAAGTTCTGCTGGTTGTTCGACATTCTTTAAATTACTATTACTAGTAGAGCATTCATAAAGAGGTGGAACATTAGGAACAAACTTATTTGTGCTTTCCTTTAAATCGATTCTATTTCTTCTAACAACATTATTTTCACTATCTTTGATTAAATACGATCTTGGAGTGGAGTGCTCACAAATAACTTGACCTGGTTCCCACTTCTTCTTTACATGATTATATACATTAATATCTGCATTAGGACAAATCGGTTTTAAATCTTTAGCCTGTCTATTGTAATATTTCTTATAACAATTTTGCCTTTCTTGTAGTTTTTCATAAACATTTTGACACAATTTTGGTTTTAAAAATTCATTATTACTAGGTAATTTAGTTTTACAATTACGGCTCATAAGTAATTGTGCAGGACTATAATCAATATATTTGAGAGGGGAGTTCCGATACTGTAACAATGCTATATCAAGGCCATCACTTTTGCCTTCGCTTTTTTTAATTATATTTTTCGCAATACCTACTCCTCTTTCAGCAAGACCGTTTGAGCGAGGATAATTAGGACTTCTTGTTACAACTTCAAAATTCCACTCTCTAGCAAATGATTTAAATTCACAACTGTTAAAAGGAACATTATCAGAAATTACACAATCTGGCGAACCATGAGTAGAAAATACTCTTCTTAAAACTAAAATTACAGATTTTGCGGATTTGTCTTTAATAGGTAATACTTCAAGCCAATTAGAGAATGAATCAAATGCTATTAGAAAACTCTGATTATTAAAAGTAAAAATATCTAAGCCAATTCTTTCCCACGGTCGACTTGAAATAGGATACAGCATTAATGTTTCTTTCTGATGTCGTTTAGCATAAGTTTCACAAATTCTACAATCTTTTATAAATGATTCAATATCATAAGTCATTCTAGGCCAATAAAATATTTGACGTGCTCGCGATTTTGTTTTTTCGATACCAAAATGACCTTCATGTAATAATTTTAGCATTTCTTTACGAAGTTCTTGAGGAACAACTATTTTGTTGTCTAAAAATAATAAACTATCTGAAACAAAAAGTTTGTCTCTTAAATGAAAATACTTCCAAATATTTAGAGGAACTTTCTTTTTCTGTTCTGGCCATGTATTTTCACAATATTTGATTACTAACTGTAGGTCTTTATCATTACTTAAAGCATTTTTAAACTGACATTTCCTAGTTTCAGACATAGGAAGATACTTATTAATACAGTGTATAACATAATCAAATTCTCTGTCTGATTTTAATCCTGTAGGTTCCCGAGCAACCGAGCGCCGTCTTGTTCTTTCTTTTGTCCTTTTTTAGTTTTTGTGCCGGCGTCCATAATGGCAGTAAATTATTTGTTTAATGTTTCTTCTTCAGAAGAAGAAGAAAAGCACGTGATAGGGTATCTGCGATAAACAAATATTTACCTGGCTTATATGACACGCTATAATTTATAATTTAATAAACGTAAACGCATTCTTTGTAATCTTGGTGTTATTGATGCCAAATCTTTACAAAAATTGCTTCTAGAGGCTTATGATCAGTGTTGACTTTTACGTCCCCAAACCATAAACAAAAAAATGAAATTTCTGTATACTAAAAACAATTGCCAACATTTCTTTTTCAATCTGGGCATAATTTTCTCAGCTGAACTCAAGCTTCTAGACGCAAATGCAATAGGGTGTCCATCTTGGGAGTAAACAGGCTCCTAACCCATCTTTAGATGCATCAGTCTCAATTTCTACATTTTTACTTGGATCAAAGAATGACAATATTGGAGCTGATGTTAAAAGGTGTTTTAACTCATTTAATGATTTCTCATGAATATCTAGCCAGTTAAACTCATTTTCAATTTTAGTTAAATCTCTTAAGGAGGAGAAGTAATTTTGAACATATTAGGCGATAGATTTAACATAACAAAGTCATCCCTAGAAAGGATTATACAAAAGAGTGTCCGTGTTCCTTAGTTACTCGCCCTCAAGACATAGTTAGGCAACAAACTTGCCTAAAAGCGTAGCCATTCTAAAATTCTTAATAAGTCTGATTTACTTTCAGGCCTTGGCAATTTTAATATAAGCTTCTACATAATTTTGATTTAATTTTATATGCCATCTTTAGAATAAATTTGACCCATAAATTTAACCGATTTACACTTAAACTGTATTTTATTTTATTAAATTTAATACCATAACTGAGAGCTCTTTCCAATACCAAGTGCAAATTTTTATCATGCTCTTTCTCATTTTTTCCTGTGACAATTATATCATCAAAATATAATCCAATACCATCAATGTCACCAAATCATATTTCATAATTTTTCTTTTGAAACACTTCTCTGGTGGAACACAATCAAAAGATAAACGACAATATTTGTACCTACCAAATGGAGTAGCAAAGTGCAATAATCTGAACTTTCTTCATCTATCTTTACTTGTAGATATCCATCTTGCATATCTGACACCTTTCAAGGACCGGGTGGACAATTAACACAGTAAAAACTCTCTGTTACATATGGTAGCAGCGATTTCATCTGCAGTTGGGATTGAAAAAATACTCTCTTTGAATTGCTTTATTTAAATACTTAGGATCTAAACAAAGACGCAAATCACTATTTGTTTTTTCCATATAATCACAAGTGCATTCACCCACCCACTCAGTAGGCTTATCAATCCTTTACAAATGACACCTTGTTTCTCAAGCTCATTTAACTTACTTTTTAGTCTATCTCGTAAAATATGAGGAATCCTTCTGAGTGGTTGCACATGCGGTACAAAATCTTTCTTTAATGTAATATGACAGTTCTGTTGGATATTTACCCAACCCATTAAAAACACTAGGATATTTATTTACTATATCATCAAAGAGATCAAAAATATACATTATCAAAGAGATTTACAATTAACATTTATACTAGCTACTTTCTTTATTAATTTTAAATCTACACAAGCCTGAAGTCCAAGTAAAGGTAATTGATCAAATTAGGTAATTGATCATCTACTACTAATAATAAAATAAAACTTGAGCCACATTCTCACCAACTTTACAGTCTAATAAAATTTCACCTTGTGGTTTAATTCTGAACTTATTATCACCATATGATACAAGGGTAACTCAGTTTTATTTATTTTTTCTTTCAGTTTCCAATTTTTCAATCAAGTTAAGTGATAATAAGCACACTCACTTCAGCACCTGTATCTAACTTGAACTCGACTAACTGATTATTAACACATACCTCCTGCTTCCAACATAAGTTTGCTTTTGGACGGACCCGATTGACTGTATACCATCAACAAAATACTCATCACTCTGTGTCATCATCTTCAGTATTCACCTTGCAACTACATGCTTCAACTTCATGAACTTTTTCTCCTTGGTTTTGTTGTTTCTTTCTGGTCTGACTTCTTTTTCCTACACACAGCAGCAAAAATGATTCCGACATTGGCATTTTGCACATGTTTTTCTACCCATATGCAGGACATTATACAGGACATTTACCATAGACTTGCCATGTTTGTACCCACAAAAAGTTACATGGTTTCTTGTTTTTCTTGATCACTATTTTTCTGTACAGCATCCACTTGACTTTCATTTCTTAATATTTTTGACTGCGATTTACTTGACTTCGGTTGCTCTGCAAACATCTACTGCTTTTTCTAAAGTAAGTTTTTGGTTCTCGTAACAATCTCTCTTGGCATTACTTTGTCCAGTATTCCCATTACAATTCTGTCCCTTATCATGTCATCATGATCCTTGTATTGTGTTGTCTTAATAGCTTTTCTTAATTCTGTTAAGAAATTATCAAAAATTGATGACCTTCTTTTTTTGGCATATACTGTTAAATTTGTACCTCTCAAACGTGATATTTGTTTTTGAGGTGAACAGTATTCATGAAACTTCTCTCTGATTTTTTATCTAACTTTTCGTCTCCATTTTCAAAACTGAAACTATTAAATAATTCTAGTCCTTCGTCACCTATCAGGGTCACCTATCAGGTTTAAAGACTGCCACTTTCTTATCTTCAGATTTCGAGCTCTAGATCTGTCGCTGTTGAAAATATATCAAATTTTGGCTGAATCTCTCCAGTTCTCTGCAACATTTCCATCTAAGACTAGGGGTTCTGGGGTTTGAACAAGTTTTCCATTTTTTTTTTTTTACAATTTCTTCTTAATTGTTTTCTAGCGGAATTTTTACCCGTACCAGCCTGACACCATGTAATATGTTATGGTCTTGAAATAAAACTATACTAGTTAGTAGTATTCCGTGTTACCAAATAACAATAAAAGGGAGTTACAACAATTAGAAAATGTGCAGATATATTCGTGCCTACGTGACCAACTAGTATCTCCCTACAGATGACTGTTTTGTGTCTACTGTCAACTAGAGAGCTACTGCACTTAAATGATAGGGATATGTCACCTCTTATCACACAATATTGTCAACTTTGGCCTATATTTTATCTATTTAAAAACATGGGATTGACAATCCCCTTACTAAAATACATACTGGAAGGTACCGATTAAGTTTCATTGCATCAAATACCTATACTGGAAGGTACCGATTAAGTTTCGGTTGCATCAAATACCTTTACTATAAATCCTGGCTCACAACTCACAATTTAAAGGCCATTGCAAAATGCTTTTGAACTTCATCATAGATTTTACAAGAATAAAGTGTAATATTGAAACAAAGTAATGATTGTAAGCTTCATGACTAATAGTAACTCATTTTTTAACACTCTTTAATATATCTCGTTAATCAATTATGAATATTATATGATTTTTTCTCAGTGATTTTGTGGCAACAATGATACAAATTAATATATGTCCATGTAACAGTTTTTAACATAAGAAACTTCTGCCTACAGATTTAATTTTCTTATTGGCATAATATTTTATATAAATCTTGCCATTTTTTCAGTCCAATGTTCCTTGTTTTTACAGTTGTAGGAATACTAAAAATGTTGACTATAGAACTTGATACTATGTTTGAAAAAGCCTTCATACCTGTAACTGTGCATAAATCTAATTAACTGATTCTCCTCCTCTTGACACTCTGAACACTGCTGCTGCTAATGTTAGAAATATTTAGCATAAAACTACAAGTTAAAGATGAAGAGTGGTACCTAACGAATTATTACAACAAACTTTACAATAAAAATGTTAAATTTTCGCTGTTCGATTAAAATACCCTATCTTATGTTTTCTTTTCCCTCCAAATAATCTTCTTGTCAAGTAAGGACCAATCTTATTTTGACATATTTCTGAATACACACTTGAACTTGTGCTTTCATGGACACTATAAGAGTGCACTGTTTTACAGAAGCACGAACATTGATTCAAAGTATCTTCTTCCCTCACACGTAATAAAAACATCCTCTTTAAATGGCCACATCATATACTTATTTTGACCATTTCCCAAATTACAATCACGATTTTTACAATGTCGCCTTTAAGAGCTAAAATAAACAGTTTTGGATCATCTGTCAAACACGATTATGTTGTATAAACTTACACATGAAAACTAATTATTTTTTCCCGGCGTATTAACTTTCTTAGAATGACTATGACAATATACAACAAGCCTTTTTTGAATTAGTGTTTAGAATAATTCAGATAATGAAAAAGTACAATAGATAACTTAGATAACAACGATAAACTGAAAAAAATCATTGGCTCCTGAATTTGTAATTTTGGCCGGTTGGAACGACATTGTACGAATGCGCATGCCTGACGGTAAATATTACTGGAAACAACATAAACGAAAAAAAAACAAACAGATGTCAATTAAAGAGGGGAAGTGACAGCGAGACGCAGGAGATGTCATCTGCCCATCTTGCCGTCGACAAAAATTTGGATGCGCAGACTCGTCGAGAAGCTCATTCTCCCACTTCCATATCTCTGGAGAATGAATGAGCTTCGACGAGTGCGCATCCAAATTTTTGTCGACGGCAAAGATGGCGGGCATCTTCCAGGTCTCAAGGTCTTCCCTCTTTAATTGACATCTGCGACTGTTTTGGATTTGTTTTTCGTTTGTGTTGTTATCCAGTTAAAAAATTATTATCTCAATTATTCTAAACGCTAATTCAAAAGGCTTTGTTGCATATTCATAGTCATTCACAAAAGCTGTTTACGCCGGGAATAAATAATGATTAGTTTTCATGTGTTCCCTATACAACATAATCGCTTTACAGATGATTCAAAAACTGTTTATTTTTAGTTTTTCTCTAAAGGCGATTTGTAAAATCGTGATTGTAATTGGGAATGATCAAAGTAATGTATGATGTGGCCATTTAAAGAGGGATGTTTTGATTACGTGTGGAGGAAGAAAGGATTTGGAATCAATGTTCGTACTTCAAAAACAGTGCACTATAGTGTCTCTATAGTGTCCATGAAAAGAACAAGTTCAAGTGACTAGAAATATATCAAACAAGATTGGTCCTTACTTGACAAGAAGATTATTTGGAGGAAAAGAAAACATAAGATAGGCTATTTTAATCGAACAGCAATATTTAATACCTCCTTTATTGTAAAGTTTGTTGTAGGTAGCTGTAGTTTTGTGCTAAATATTTCTAACATTACCAGCAGCCATGTTCAGAGTGTCAGAGAGGAGGAGAAGTCAGTTAATTCAGATTTATGCACAGTTACAGGTATGAAGGCTTTTTCAAACATAATTTCGAAGTTCTATAGTCAGCATTTTTATATTCCTACAAGTGTAAAACAAGGAACATTGAACTGGCAAAAATGGCAAGATATTATATAGGAAGAAGTTGTTATTATGCCAATAAGAAAAATTAAATCTGTAGGCAGAAGTTTCTTATTTAAAAACGTTATGGGCATATGTTAATTTGTATCTGTGCCACAAATCACTGAGAAAAATCATATAATATTCATAATTGTTAGCAGATGATATTTAAAGAGTGTTAAAAAATGAGATTATTAGTCATGAAGCTTGCTAATGTTACTTTGTTTCAATATTACACTTTTATTCTTTAAAATCTATGATGAAGCAAAAGCATTTTGGCAATGGCCTTAAATTGTGAGCCAGATTTAAGTAGCAAAGGTATTTGATGCAATGAAATCTTAATCGGGGATTGTCAATCCCATGTTTTTAAATAGATAAAATATAGGCCAAAGATGACAATATTACAGTTGAAAAACTATTTTATCTTAAAAAAATTTCTTAAAATTCTGAGATCATATAATCTAATTTTCTTAATAATAAATTAGGTATATGTATGTTGTACATAATTTTAGGTATGGACAAATAAGGATCGACAAGCTTCTTTGGTGCAAAAAATAAATTATTTTTTGTAGTATTAAGACAAACGATAATGTGTTTTACAAACTTACCGGTAACAGTTTTTTTTATAATAAAATATTTAGGAATAATTTGGGTTGTTTATCAATATATTAATGACTTGAATTTTGACAAATTGAATTTGTATCAAAATAATTTTACGAAATATAAAATTGATGTTCTATTACAAGATTGAGTTTTTATTGTCGACAAAAACCAGGATAAATACTAATAATAATACCCTTAATAAAAATCAATGATGTTTATGTATTATGAAAATATTTGTTAGAAGACATGTTATGTAACAGTTTTGTAACACAATTTGAAGAGACGAATAAAAAAAAATAAAACAAAAACATATTTTTTCTAGGTTTATATTAAAAATACAAGGTAAGTAATCATCAAAAATAATTATGCACCAAATGTTTTTTATGAATATACAACTTGAACAAAAAGTTGTTTAGAACAATTTTTACCAAATTTGCAAAAATTTTAAATTGAAACGCGTAATCCTGTACAAGTAAACATGAAATAATTTAAATACTTATTTAATGGCATTTCGAGTGTTTAACGACGAAAAGGTCATCTGTCCGTAGCGTCTTTTGTCAGAATATTCGTATATTTAGTGTATTATATACCAATATTGTACGCAGTTTTGAAACTGATAATTAAATAAATCATATTAATGTTAACTAACCATAATAAATGATAGAATTTCACTAAATTTAAATTCCCCCCCGTATGGTTGAAAACAGCAAATTGATATTTGATTACTTATAGATTACCACCTATATACAAAATGACACGGAGACCTGGAATATGGCGCCCAACTTGATTAGACCTTCCGCGCATGTTGAAGCTCATTCTCTATCCCTTCTATTTCTCTGGTTCTACCCTTGTTCTACCGTATGATCGAATAAAAATGGCGTCAGCGATGGCTATGATATGAAGATCGCTGTCATTTCATATGTAAATTTATATGGGAAATGTCATCGATGTTCATTTTATAGCCATCGCTGACGCCGTTTTTATTCGATCATACGGTATAAGACTCGTCATGTTAGTACTTCAATACATCAATACATATATAATCAAAACTATTGTTGTCTGTAAAAAACTAGAAATCTTTGTAGAAATTAAATAACTTGAAAGAAATAAAATAATTCTAATAAGTTTAAAACCATTAAGAAAAAATCCGTAAATGATAATTTTGAATTCTAATGTTAATATATAAATAAAATGTTATTATTATTACAATTTTCAATGACTAAAGAATACAAAGACATGTAACGGCCATATACGGGCTGCAGCAAAATTTGTGACCTTTAGACGCCATTTTTTTGGACATAACGAATGAATCATCAGCGACAATTTTAGCGATTTTTAATAGTTGGTTGTGTGTAGTGAACTTTGTATACACTTTATTACAATGGTAAGTTCTTTAGCTTGTAAAAGGCGCAATGATAAGAAAGATCCAGGAGTTACGTTTTATAGGGAAATAAACAGTCCACTACACCTTTTTAGCGTTTTTTTATTGAATTCCATAATTATTTTTTTGATATTATATGTACTTGATATGTGCTATACGTCGATACTAGTTTTGTACCTTTTGTTAACATTTTTTTGTCAATATATACAGTATGATCGAAAAAACGGCGTCCAGTTGGCCGGAAAATGACGATTGAGTACATTTCCCATATAAAATGACAACGATCTTCATTTCATAGTCATCCCTGACGCTATTTTTTTCAATCATAGTACTCGCGGTATATTATTTATATTATTATTTTAATATTTTGCATAACACGTGAAACGTGAACGCTTATTATGTATTTTCATAGTCAATAAAATTAAATAGAAATAAAATTCTAGATTCCTATAATTAATCTAATTGCTCTAGATCTGCTCTAGATTATTATGCTACGTTTAAAAAGTGCTTTATTAAAAATTCGGGAAATTAAAAGGGATGTGTCCAAGTTTTTCTTTTTTTTTAATTTTTAAATGCTGTAGCTCCATGTCATGTTCATAATAGGTTTTTTTTAACATTCCATCAAAACTACGGAGGCCTTAAAAGGCCTTTTAGCCTCCGTAATTAAAATTGTAGAATCATCAGCTTCAGCAACATTTACAGTTACCTTGTTTAATTCTGCTTATACATATATTGCATTAATT